CCTCTCAAAGCATATTGTTACCATTTTTGCAACCGCTATTGATGCAATTATTTTGAATTTTGCCGCATGTTTTTTGAAGGTCTCCAATAATCTACACCCAGCTACATGCCATTCATCTGCCCATACCAGCAAGTATAATTCTAATACTATCCTGATTTCGCGAGCACAGGCGCTTTGCGCCTTAAATGCGAGCAGCTAAACATCAGTAAGCCAAGTAGAACGGTCGTTCCTTTGACAAATTTCTTAGGTGGACGCAGCAATGTAGGTCTTTTAGTTGTGAGAGCTCTAAGCTGCTCTGTTTGCTTGCTTCTAGAAAAAGTATAGTGCACAGCCTCACGGAATTTGTTCCAACTGAAGCGAAAGTGGGAATTGAGACTGTTTGCTTTTGATATTATTTTCAGGATATCGCAAACGCAGCTTGGACGATCATAATAGACGATATTGGATCAGAAAAGCACAAAGAACTGCGGATAAAACGTCGGGTCAGACAAGCACTGTACATTATTATAGAAACAATATGCCCTCCCGGACCACCGGGACCGATAGGTAAGCCTGGATTACCTGGATCGCCCGGTCAGCATGGTCGTCCAGGATCCGACGGGCTACATGGTTTTGGTATAGTCGAGCATATATCCCAGCCCTGCACACAGTGCCCAGAAGGGCCTCCTGGCCTTCCTGGAGAAGATGGTGCGGTAGGAAATCCGGGACCTGATGGATGGCCAGGATCAAGAGGAGAGCCCGGACGTAGAGGAATTCCTGGATTGCCAGGGCGTGAAGGAGAGCCTGGTGAAAAAGGCAGAGCCGGAGAACAAGGATGGCCTGGAGTCCCAGGACGGAATGGAATTCGCGCCAGAGGTAATCGTGGGCCACCAGGTCCTGAAGGAGAGGTTGGAGAGCCGGGGAAAGTTGGAGCTCATGGAGAGCACGGTGCTGCTGGTAGACCAGGGAAACCTGGAGTTCCAGGAAAAATGGGTGCGAAAGGTGTTCCAGGTATTGATGGAAGTCCTGGAGTAGGAGGAACTCTGGGAACGCCAGGTGGCGATGGCTATTATTGCAAATGTCCACTTAGATCAGAGCATTTGGGTTATATCAAATCTTGAAAA